TGGGCGTGGTTATTGTCCGATTTTAAAAAGTTTCGGCGATTTTTTATGCTGTACCAACGCCAACAACTGTGCCAAGTTTGGGAGAAATTGGTGCAGCGGTTACCAAGATATACACATGTAACCATAAGTGGGCGTGGCTACGCCCATTTTCCAAAAATTTAAATTATACTTATTTTTCGTCTAAATCTTATTATAAATATCAATTTTGAGTGAATTATCTTCATTAGTTACTAAAATATCGCAGTTTTCGTATTTCTGGAAATTACCGTTATATGGGAAGTGGGCGTGGTCAAAGTCCGATTTCGCCCATTTTCAATACCAACCTACCTTGGATTAAGGGAGACCTACGTACCAAATTTCGTTGAGATATCTCAATTTTTGCTCGAGTTATCGTGTACACGGACAGACGGACAGACGGACAGACGGACGGACAGACAGACATGGCTTAATCGATTTCTTTTTTCATCCTGATCATTTATGTATACATTTGTCTATATCTATCTCGATTCGTTTTGGCTGTTACAAACAACCGTTATGTGAACAAAATTAATATACCCTTGTGCACAAGTGCGACGGGTATAAAAATTGCGGAAAAAGGAAAGCACAAAATGGAGTTTGCAATTTGTTAAAATTATTCTATCCTTCAATAGAAACATGAGGGGTATACACGATCCGGTGCATACTGCCTAGCATGGTGCATATGTAGCATGATTGTTGTTGTTTCAAGTGTTCAAACAACAACAAAATTAGCCAATCATGCTATTTATACTATCTATCACCCCTATTGTAAGTAAGAAATATGTATGTATTAATATCCATTGCTTTAATAAATACAGTGTTAAATTTTGTATCTTGTTAAATATTTTCAATAGATTGTATAATTTTTAAATTATCGGTTGGATACCTGGAGGTCATATAATATGAACTTTTAGAGGTCACTCATCGGTGAAGGACGTTAGACTTTTTTATACCCGAGCGCACTTGTGCACAAGGGTATTATAACTTTGTTCACATAACGGTTGTTTGTAACAGGCAAAACGAATCGAGATAGATATAGACAAATGTATACATAAATGATCAGGATGAAAAGAGAAATCGATTAAGCGGTGACTGTCTGTCCGTCCGTCCGTCCGTCCGTCCGTCTGTGCACACGATAACTCGAGTAAAAATTAAGATATCTTAACGAAACTTGGTACGTGAACTTCTTTTGGGCGTGGGACGGATGGTATTGAAAATGGGCGAAATCGGATAATAACCACCCCTACCTCCCATATAACGGTAATTTTCAGAAATACGAAAACTGCGATATTTTAGTAACTACTGAAGATTTTTAACTCAAAATTGATATTTACAATAACTTTTAGACGAAAAATAAGAATGTTATAAATTTTTGAAAAATGGGCGTAGCCACGCCTACTTATGGTTACATGTGTATATCTTGGCAACCGCTGCACCGATTTCTTCCAAGCTTGGCACAGTTATTGGCCTTGGTAATTTGGAGAAATACGAAATCTTCGATAAATCAGTAAATATAAAAGCCAATTTATTCAAAATTGATGCTTGCAACAATTCCTCACCAGGAAATACGTCTATAATTAAATTTTGAAAAATGGGGGTGGCACCGCCCACTTATGATCACATATATGTATCTCGGTAACCGTTCTACCAATTTGTACCAAACTCGGTATTTTTATTGTGCTTGCTACATAAAAGCAAAACGATGAAAATTATTGAAATCGGACTAAAATTATGGCTTTTCATATAACGGTAAATTTTATAAATGCTCGAAACGTCAATATTTTGAAATTTAAGGACGCTAATTTACTCAAAATTGATACACCCCGCCTTACCATGTAGCGGAAGGTTTCGGAAAGGTGAAAAAACATATATTTAATACTAGCGCCGGGTATTTAATGTTCGGCTCCGCCCGAACTTAGACTTTCTTACTTGTTTAATTTAACCTTGTTTGAGAAGTTGACCCAAATCGGCTTTCCCAACCAAAAATCTGTATCCGCCACTGATGCGAACGAAGTGGAATAGAGATTGAAGAATCAGTACAAATCAGCACACATTTCCCAAAAATAAGGACATTTGTGTACTGAATTGCGAATTGAAAATTTTCAGTATAGCGATTGAAAATTCAGTACTATCCTTCCCAAGTCAGTACGTCTGGCAACCGTAGTATACGCATACTATAGAGCAGAGCATCTTAAAGTGTTCCGCGGAACCCAAGGGTTCCGTAGAAAAGTCACCGAAGTTGCACACAGAAAGAAAAGTTCTATAAACAGCTTGACCGAGACACAAGTATCTATTTTCAAGTATATGTACATACATATGTACCCGTAGTTGGTATGATTGCCGTACTGGGTGCCATACCTGCATAAGAGCGTTGAGCTTACGCTTGCTAGCTTGTTTTTTTCAAAGAGTTATACACAACTTTCTACAAGGAACGCGATGAATTGCCAAATGAAATGTGAATGGTAGTAGTATCGGTTTGGTACAAAATCCATTTTCGAAGCATTCATAGATCTCCAGAGTACTTCGACATTGAAACAAACATTTGAATCTGTGTCTCTGAAAGAGTTTTGGGTTAGTGTTATGAGTAAATATCATCAAGTCGCTAAAAAGGCCATCTAAACTTTGCTTCCTTCGGTCACATCGTACTCTGCCAACAGGGGTTTCCGCTTACACCTATACAAAAAACGAATTCATGTCGAAATTGGATGCTACCCCAGAAATGCGCATGTAGCTTTCAGACATTATATCGGTTGATTTTTAGTAATTTGATGTGGGATTCCCTAAAATGGAAGGTGTTTAGTAAGGGTTCCATCATCTTAAAAGTTTAAGAACCCCTGCTATAGAGATCCGCCTTTTCTGTAAGCGTTATCTAAACGCGATTAAGGACCGTTTTTTTTATACCCGAGTGCACTTGTTCACAAGGGTATATTAACTTTGTTTACATAACGGTTGTTTGTAACAAGCAAAACGAATCGAGATAGATATGGACAAATGTATACATAAATGCTCAGAATGTATAGAGAAGTCGATTTAGCCATGTCTGTCTGTCCGTCCATCCGTCTGTCCGTGTACACGATAAATCGAGCAAAAATTTAAATATCTCGACGAAATTCGGCATGTAGGTTTCCCTTTACCCAAGGCCGGTTGGTATTGAAAATGGGTGAAATCGGACTGTAACCACGCCACTATATTGGACCAAAATTGTTGAAAATTAGTATGTGAAGTCGAATTTCGGTAAAAAATATTATTATTATTATGAAATATCTCAGTAGCCGCTTCGCCAATGCTTCCCAAACTCAGTACGAGCTTTGCCTAGCGCCTAGGTAAGAAATCTGTTGAGAATCTTTGAAATCGTGCAATAACCACGCCCACCTCCCATGTAACGGTAAAATAACCACTTAGCACGAAATTAAATTATTATACATTTTTGGATAACGGGCGTGGCGCCGCCCCTTATGACAAATGTGTATCTCGGTAACTGATTCATCAATTTCTACCAAACTCGGTGCACTTAATAACCTTAGTACAAGAAAGAAATTCGTTGAAAATTATTTAAATCGGACCAAAATTACGCCCACTTCCCGTATAACGGTAAATTTCAGAATGCGAATACTTCGATATATCAGTTAATAGTTACAACAATCTCTTAACAATAAATAAGACTGCTATATATCTATAGAAATTGGGCGTGGCACCGCCCACTTTATGACTACAAGGTGTATCTCGGTACATTTTTATCAAACTTGGTTCAATTATTTCATTAATTCTAATTCAGCATATTATCGAAAAAGTTTGAAATCGGGAAAAACCCACCTGCTTATCACAAATGTAGTTTAGAGAAAGTTGAAACGACGATATTTGATACCTGCGCCGGGTATATAAAGTTCGGTTCCGCCCTAACTTATACTTCTTTACTTGTTTCAAATTGTCTTTTTCTGAATAACTCGTATTCCAATCTTGTAAAAAGGCGAATAATTGAACACCCTCGTAACTACATACCATATTTTTGTCAATGGTATGAAAATATGAGCATCTGAGTACTGTTCGAAATGCAATGGCCACATACTGTATATTAAATATTAATATTATTATTTAATGTAAATAAATTAAGATTTAAAGGTATTTTAGCTGTCGGTTACATTTTTGAAGCTGTAGAATTTGAATTATTACGCTGTTCGGCAGTCGGCTGCGGACAGGGTTCGTATTTGCACGCGCATGAGCAGCACTTCCCAGCACATTTCGCTCATACACATGAGTGTGCGTTTATACAAAAAAAAAATCTTGCGCACAACTCAGGTGTGTGCGCTTTGATATAAAACACATGCTCATGTGTGTGCTTCGAAAATTACAAAAATGGCACATGCGCATGGGTGTGCTGTTCGATATAAAACACATGCACACGTGTGTGCTGTGTGCAGTGAAACTCATGATCCAGTAGGAACACTTTGAATTTTGAATCTCAATTTTCAAAAACAATTAACTTCTACTGTCATACAAATATTATTTAAAAAAAATTTTATTTAAATAAAATGGAAAATAAGGAGCTATATGAGATTCTTGTTCAAGAGAAAAAGATTAAGTGCTTAACTTGTGCAAAAGTATTAAGTGGGACGAATACATTTAATGTGAAGCGACATTATGCTCTGTCCCACAAGATGGAAATCGCTACTAAGAAAAATACGAGTAAGTGGAAGACGGTTGCTAAAAAGGCTAAAGGGTCTGTAAACATCGATATTGATAAGGAGGAGTTTTTAAAATGCTGTGTGGGTTTAGTGACAGTAAAGAACCTTCCGTTCCGTTTGTTTGACGACCACGATTTTTTTAAAAGATTAATCGAACCATATGAGCGTAAATTTGGAACAACTTTGAATTCACGCAATATAGTGAATATAACTAGTCATACCACCAAAAATATAAAAAAAGCAATTTCTGAAAGATTAAAACACAAATTAATTAGTTTGAAAGTTGATATCGCTAGCAGAATGGGCAAGAGCGTACTTGGAATAAATGCCCAATATATTGAAGATTTCAAGATATGTATACATACTTTGGGTAAGTTTTGAGTTTTTCTTAAAACGTCTGTTAATTTATGTTATATAAAATCGATAGGTATGGTACGGCTCAACAAAAGGCATAAGGCAGTATTTATAAAAGAACAAGTAATCAACTGTTTAGAAAGTTATGGCTTAGAACTACAGCAAGTGTACTCCAACACCACTGACAATGGAGCCAATGTTATAAAGGCCAGTAAAATACTGCAAGACGAACAGGAAGCTAAAAGTTTGGAAGAGTCGGATACTGCCGCAGAAGAGGAGGAAAATTTACACCGCACCATAGAGTCAGTATTTTCAGTAGTAAGATGCGCAGCTCATACTCTACAACTTGCTGCGTATGACGTCCTAAAGACACTAGGCTCTTCGTTGGAGGACTGTAGAAACCTTATTAAGAAAGTGCGTACTTTAGTTCGCACGGAATCTAGCCATATGCAAATGCCAGTACTAGATAACTTAACGCGGTGGAACTCCACATATGAAATGCTAACCTCACTGCAGAAAATAAAAGAGTTCATAGAGCAGCAATGCCCTGACAGTGAAGATTTCCACTGGGAATTTGTAGTAGACTTTATTAAAGCTTTTAAACCTCTTGTCTTATGTACAAAACGGATGCAAAGCGAACAATATGTGGTTGGAGACTTTTACAGAGATTGGTTGTCGTGTGAACTAGAGTTGCATGATCTTGGTTCTACAGTCTCATACGCTGCGCAGCTGCATGATGCGATGAAAAGCCGGAAACAGCCTTATGAGCAATAATGCGTTTATTGCTGCTTTATATTTAGATCCTCGCTTTAATTTTAGAGGCTCTTTCATGTTGTCTCCACAACAAGAAGTTAATGCCGAGGTATATATGAGATCTACTAAACACACACTTTTTGTAATTTTAAATGCTACAATTTTTTTTATTCAGAATCATTTGATTAAAACCTACGAAAATATGCTGCGAATGGAAAGCTCCGAAAATTCAATGTCATCGAGTCCTCAAAATCTGAATTTGCAATATTCTGAATGTTTGCCTTCTACATCCAGCAACTCTTTTTCCCGTTTAGAAAAATATATTTGTGAAGATATGGTAGAGACCTCAAGTGACGTAGAAGTAGTCCAAAATTTACGGCAAAAGTTAAGTGTATTCGCAAATGGGAGAAAAGTTTCTTTAGATACTGATATATTAAGCTACTGGAAGACCTTCCCTTCGGATAAAGATCTAAGAAAACTTGCTGAAGTTGTTCTAGCTGTTCCAGCAACACAAGTTTCAGTGGAAAGGGCATTTAGTGCCTTATCATTGACTTTAACAAAGCATCGCTCAAAACTAAACGACGCTACCTTAAATAACATACTTATAACAAAACTAAATTTCGATTTATTGTACTTCAGAGACAACGACATGCATGATATCTCCTCACACCAAAATTGCATAACAGTGAATATTAGTTTGGAATGCCATATAACACAATTTAAATTAACGGTTGATTACTTACTTTTATCTACATACAAGTAAACCTTTTCAACCACTTTGTATTTGTTAAAGCAACAAGTTGTCCTTATATGTGTTAAATATAAAAAAAACATAGAGTGATATGCACCTGATTATACACTTGACTTTCACTGTACACAGCACAGACATGAGCATGTGTTCTTCATAAAAATTTTACATTCAAACTCATGAGCATGTGCTTTATATCGAACAGCACACACATGCGCATGTGCATTTTTTTTTTAATTTTCGAAGCACACACATGAGCAAGTGTTTCGTATCATAGTGCACACACGTGAGTTGTGCGCAAGATTTTTTTTTATAAATGCACACTCATGTGCATGAGCAGTGAGCTCAATGGAACTTTTTTCAAGCACATGTGTGTGCAGAGCATGTGCGTGCAAATACGAACCCTGGCTGCGGAATTGATGAAACCAAGTTTTTCAGAAAATCTGGATCGTATATAGAAAAGGTTTTCTTCAATTCGAAGTTGATGGTCACAGAGCAGCATTTAAAACTATTAAAAGTGATTAAAACGTATAAATTTTTACCATCAAGAGAGCATGTTGGTGATTTTTGGGCACGACAAAACTGAATATTCAGTTCATTTTTACTAAAAAACGTGTATTTTTTACCAAAAACGCCACGGTTTCTGGGTGCACTTTGGAGCAAACATGAAGAAATTTGTCTGAACTACTTTTCCTTCGTGGTCCTTCCATATTTTTATTTACAATAAAGCGCACCCTAGCGGTTGTTGCTGCTAACAATAAATTACAAATTCAGATTCTTCTGACCCAAAGACCCCCAGAAATATATTTTGAACGTATAAATATTTGCTTCCTAATTCTTTTAAATTCTACTCTGCGACCGCCAACTTCAAATTGAAAAAAAAACCGCTTAAAATCGGCAATCTGTGAAAACTGAGAAATAACTTTTCTATATACAATCCCGACTTTCAGAAAAACTTGGTTTCATCAATTGCCCATAAAAAGGTGAAAATGTTGGACAGTGTTATTAATTGAATTATTTGAAAAAAAAAGAAATACTTGTGATCAGCTAATTAAGTTAGTTACACTTTGACCAGTTTTGGCTATCTGTTGTTTGTTTAATGTTTTTTATTTTTTGAAAAAGTCTAACGCCTTATACAGCCAGTACCTTATAAATCTACATTTGGACCTTTGTACGAAAATTATAAAAATTCAACAAATTTTTCTAATTTCCCCAAAAATTTTGATTCAGAATTTTTACGAAAAATTTAGGTATGCAGTTCTATAGCCCTTTTGATTTTATTAGGATAAAGTGTGAATTTTTAATGGATAATAAATAATTCACGTGGATTTTTCATATTTTTGTTTGCTGATGGTGCTAGGCATTTTCTAAAAATAAAAGCAATTTAGAGCATACCATTTTGTATATTTTGCATCAATTGAAGACGAGTACGAGCACCGTACGAAATACAAATATACCAAAAGTGAGCAATAAATAAATGGAATTTAAATACCTATGCTGCGATACATATTCATTTACTTTTATTAATATTAAAAATAATATGAATTCAATAAAAATTAAATTATCAAACTACACGAATGTTATGCTTATTATTTTGATTGATGAATAGGCACAAGGATGCGTAGCCTTCTTATGTGTTTAGCAAGGTTATTGAAATTGCACTTAAATCCTTTTTAGGAATTTAAAGGATAATTAGAACTACTATAACAGGACAAAAATGGGCGCAGCAGGCGCACTTTCAACTGCAAAAAATGCACAAATGGAGGGCTTCACGAATAAAGGACTTTGCAGGCGATCTGTTGGAAATAAAACTTAAGGAAATGCAAATGTGGCCCCTATTATGAGTTGCATTCGATTTTCGACTGTGGTCGAAAGTGCTGAGCGAACGAATTTTCATTTGGTATTATGGCGCTCATTCGATGAAGAATAGCGCTATTGTGAATTTCGCTCGTTTAGGTTGTTCACAATAGTATATTTTTCACCGCTGAGAAGCTTTGTTTACAAATCGAGCAAACCAAATAGTGTGCTTATACATATTTATGTAAATTTGTTCTAATTAAAATGAAGTAAAAAAGAAAGCAAGTTTATAAAAACGTAGTAAAATGAGTACAACGAGTTCTGGTTCAACGATTCGTCGGAGGATGAGCGCTAAGTAAACTGGCCAGGAGTAGCAAATGTTTAAGAAAGTTTAAGTTTATTAGTCTTTCGAATATATTTTGATATAAAATATATTTAAGAAATTTGTCTACAGATTCATTAAAAAGTTCCGACCATCTAAAGAAGCGTTTGTGAGCCAAATCTATTTAAAATATTTTAAAACTTTCAACAGCGCTACGATTTTGTTCTCAGAGATCGCGCCAACAGAGTATTGGGATTTTCTTTCACAAGTAAAACCAGCTTTTCGAGCTTGTGTTTAGTATTCACGATGTTAGAACGGCATGAAATTAATGAAAATTGTTTAAAATTAGTGTCTAGCCGCCAAAATGTAAGAAAACATATACAAAATCATACACTTTTCACAATTTTCTAACACTTCGCTACACCATCGAAAGCAAAATTCTGTTCGACAGAAAATTCGATACTCAACGAAAATTTCGACACGCTTGCATAGCTCATAATACGAATTTCACTTTCGATCTTCGATAGCCAGCGAAGATCGAAAATCGAATGCAGCTCATAATAAGGGCCTGTGTTTTTTTACAGCTGAAGCCGGCTCACAGCTTCGCATAAGCAAAGTTGACGGAAATAACCAAAATCCATTACGAGGTCAGCATCTTATTGGCGAGATAGTGGACCAAAATTAAAGAAACAAGATGGTGTTGATGAAACCACAAGTGAGCTACGGATTATTCTATACACTTGTGTTCAGAAAATGTCAATAAGGCCATCAATTTTACTAAACAACGTTAAGAATAATGACTGGAATTTTGTGCAACTCGCATTCCTGAAAGGACAACTAGAAAATGGTGATTTTCTCTGGCGAAACCTTTAATTTTGATACAACGGATTTAATAATTGTTGTCACGATTTTTGAAAGGACGAACGTTGTTTGTTTGCGACTTCCAGAGCAGTTGAGATAATATTTCAAGTTTCCAAAATTACGAATAATTCACGCAAAAAAAAGTATTAAGGACTTTTTTTAAACATTTGTCGCATGTTATTGCACCTTGTTCTTGAAAGTGTTAGTAAAATTACGCACCGATGCGCACTACAGGAGCTGTAAAAACGAGTTAAGCGAAGCAAAGTTGTAATTTTTTCACAGTTCATCCTATTCACAGGACCTAAACTTAATGGAAAATATTTGGAATTGGATGTTTTGCACAGTTTGCATGTCAGACAATCAATGTGATTGCAGTGGTTCTTTCCGGCAATTAAAATGGTAAGCCGCGAGATGTCCTTGATTCTTCAGAGCGCCTCTAGTATTGTCTTCCGGATAGGGTATTTTTCCATACATTTTAATTAAGGATGTAGTTTCCAATACTAAAAATATTATATAGTAGAATTAAAATGAGTGGCATACTTTTCTTGGTTGCATGGAGTCCCTTCCTTGTGTTAAAGCCACTGTGCCTATTCAAGTTAATCAAAATAATAAGTATAATTTTCGTGTAGTTTGATAAAACGTGGAATATAATCCAATGTAATAGAGGTGTTTTATCCATTTTCACCACTTTTCTTTAAAATTGATCATTCTTCAATAAGAGATCAAAAAGAAACTTCTCCGATGACCAAAAATCTATATTTAAGCTCAGATCTGAGAAAAAAATGTGTACCTATTCAAGTGAATAGGAGACTACCCTTACCGTATAGATCGGGTGATATATGCTATCGTATTCTGAAAGTACTATTGCATGCGCGTGTAAAATACCCATCTCGCTGGCTAGACTATTTAAAAAGTTACAGACGATTATATTTTGATTTCCCCACAAGGCTACAATTGCAATCCAAGTGTTAACGACGTTTTTTTTGGAGCTTTTCGAGCGGTTATGAGTTGTGACAATAGAAATTTAAGGCCACCTGTTCGTGGGCTTCAAAAATATTCATCACTTCATCATTTTATAAAAGTGAAATATTTTGAGCTTGAAAGTCTTCAAAAAATTTACTTTACATAGATTGAATATACATATGTTTGGCTTAAGTCGCAAACGTGCTAAGTCCATTTTTTTTTTAATTTTTCAGGAGGGACAAAAACCGTCCAACTTTTCAGTTTTCTTCCTTAGTTCGTCTATGTTTAGTACCATTGATCGGCTAATTTCAAAATAAAGCTGTTGCAGAC